TATCTTTATTTATATTATTTTTTTAAATGATTATTTTGATGATAAAAGCAGACAGTCGGGAATCAGTTTGGTATAAGTTGGAGTAGTATTAATACATCAAGAGTAGCAGCTGTAGTAGTAGTAGTAGTAATAATAGTAGTAGTAGTAGTAATAATAATAATAGTAGTAGTAGTATTAGTAGTAGTAGTATTAGTAGTAGTAGTAGTAGTAGAGTAGTTGTAGTAGTAGTAGTAGTAGTAATAGTAGTAGTAGTAGTAATAGTAGTAGTAGTAGTAGTAGTAGTAGTAGTAGTAGTAGTAGTAGTAGTAGTAATAGTAGTAGTAGTAGTAATAGTAGTAGTAGTAGTAGTAGTAGTAGTAGTAGAGTAGTTGTAGTAGTAGTAGTAGTAGTAGTAGTAGTAGTAGTAGTAGTAGTAGAGTAGTTGTAGTAGTAGTAGTAGTAGTAGTAGTAGTAGTAGTAGTAGTTGTAGTAGTAGTAGTAGTAGTAGTAGTAGCAGTCACGATGGGTAATGAAACGTACACACACACATTTACACACACACACACACACACACACGCACAAACACGCACACACACACGCAAACTCACACTCACATGCACGCACACACATATACAAAAAATGTTTTTTCAACGAAATCATTAATTTATGGCTTTGCGACACAAATTTATGAATTATTATTGAAAAAAAAACCAAAAAATTACAAAACAACATAAACGATGTTTAAATGATTAAATTATTAATTATCTTAATGGATGCGCTAATTAGTTGAAATGAAATATAATGGATCGGTTAATTGGAGATAATACAAGTATTTACTGCTGGTTAAAGTTTTTTAATCTTTAATATAAAAATGTTTAATCATTCACTTAATAAGCTGGTAAATTGACTGGCTGATAGAGTGAATGAATGAATGAATGAATGAATGAACGAACGAACGAACGAATGAATGAATGAATGAATGAATAAATGAATGAATTAATTAATTAATTATTCAGTTAATTGACTTATTTATTTATTTATTTATGAATGAATGAATGATTGATTAGACTAACGATAAATTGAAAAGATAATTACAATTTTTTGTATACATCATATATATTTTTGCCAAATTATATTTTTATGTTTTATTCTATTTTTCTTCTTCATTCTTTTATTCCCATCCTGCAATCACATCTATTTCTTCATTTATTTCCACCCTACATTCATTTGTTCGTTCGTTCGTTCTTTCGTTCATTCGCTCGTTAGTTCGTTCGTTCGTTCGTTCATTAAGTAATTCATTCATTCATCCATTAGATCATGCATTCGCATGTGCATGTCCATCCATCCATCCATCAATCATTCATTTTTTGTAATAACGTCCTTATTTGTCCTTACAATCATGCTTATAATTTTTTATATTGACAGTAAATTTATTCTTTTGTAAATCTATCTATCTTTTTGTCAATCCATACATTCATTCATCCATTTACCAATCCATCCATTCATTTATTCATACATTCATCCATTCATCCATTCATCATTCATTCATTCATCCATTCATTCATTCATCATTCATTTATTCATTCACTCATCCATTCATCATACATTCAGCTTCCCATCCAATTTTATTTTCGATTAATCAATATTTTCACATCATTGCCTCTAGTTCATTAATCTTCCTATGAATAAATGAATGAAAACATTGAAAGACATTTCGTTCGTTTCTTCATTCGTTCATACATTACTATTACTACTACCACTGTTGCTACTACAACCATTGTTGCAGCAACAGCATTCACTAAAATTTTCAAGATGAATGAATTGCTTTTATATAAAAAAAAAAAAAATAATAAAATCCATGTTCTGAACACTAAAAAAATTGGTTAATCTTGATATTACAATTAATAATAGTATTAATAATAATATCAATAATAATAATAATAATAATAATAAATATAAAAAGAATACAATCATAATAAGTTGGTAGAATTCCCAGCGGTTCTGGTGTGTTGTTCATTACATTAAGCAGGCCAATGAAGAAATGACGATTAATGATGTATTGGATTGGTTGTGCCATGTTGTTGTTGTTGTTGCCGTGTTGTTGTTGTTGTTGTTGCCGTGTTGTTGTTGTTGCCGTGTTGTTGCCGTGTTGTTGTTGTTGTTGCCCTGTTGTTGTTATTGTTGTTGAGGACGTTGTTATTGTTGTTGATGATGTTGATGTTTTTGCTGTTGTTGTTGTTTTGTTGTTTTTGTTGTTGTCAATTGGCAGCCTTCTTTATTTTGTTGCTGTTGTATTGCTGTACTGTTTTGTTGTGTTATTGTTGCTTGTTGTTGCTCTGTTGTTATTTGTTGCTGAGATTATACTTGCGTTAATTTTGCCAACGTGCATGTTGCTTGTTCTATTTCTTGTTCAATCAATTTAAAATGTTTATTGATTCAGTTGAGAGGAAATTATTTTGTGCAGCCCAGTAGAGGCGTTTATCTCATCGTAACGCCATGAAAACCATATGTAGGAGCTTAAACATCGCCAACGTTGTTGTTACTCACGGATGGGCTTTAATTGCAAGTAATTCTTTAAAACGAATTTTTTGTTTATTGTCGGTTTTATTCCTTGATGCGTATATTTAACATTAACAACAATCAACTTAAGCATCAACAATATTGAAACAAACGTTAAACGTTTAACAAGATTTTCAACGACAAGGCAATCCGCTTTTGTGAACGTTTCATTCAAAAATAACCAACAACAACAAAACAACAACGGAAACACATCTTTTAAATAACAACGACAATAGAACAACAACAACACATTAACAACAGCAGAGTAACACAAAAACACAGCAACAGATTTCTATTAAGTTTGACTGAATGTTATTTCTCGAAAGCATCATTAAAAATTTCAAAAATGAATAATATGAAAAAAATGGAAATATTTTTTAAATTACACAAATAAGTGAACAAACAATGAAAAGCAATTTGGAGCCGGTGCAAAGCCATTCAAAACTATTGCATTGGTGCGCACCACACACACACACACACACACACACACACACACACACACACACACACACACACACACACACACATATAAACACACAGGCATACATCCACAGACATACACACTCACACATATACGAACATGTAAAAACAAACAAATACAAACAAACAAGACAAAGTTAACAACCTTATATATTTCTATTACACCAACCAACCATAATGATGTCACTAATGTATTGAATTGCCATCCATACACACGTAAACAATCACCATTTGGTTCGTAATAAAAAGTATATGAACACATTTTAAAAAATTTACACATGCGTGTGTGTGTGTGTGTGTGATTGTGTGGAGTGTATGTGGGTGTGTTGTTTGTGTTGTGTGTGTATATAGGTNGTGTGATTGCA